CTAACACTAGCTTTCACTGAGGATGGTAAAATAATTTATCTTGCCTAGTTGGACATAATATGACCCCAGATTATGCTCTGATTGATGCCACTTGGAACGCTGTGAGCTTGAAGTTGCATAGACTAAGACATTTTGCCATTCCAGTCAGCACAGCAGCTCCAATAATTAACAGCCAGAACATGCTCAGAAATCCCTGACCTCAGTGGTTTGTTACATTGATTGAAAGTGCAGAATAAACAGTCCAGCTCTTAGCGAATTGCTAATGCTATTGAAGGCTAATTTATATTTGTGTGTGTTCAACAGCACAAGGTTAGACTAAAGACAGAGGACACTCGGTGAAGGTTGGAAGAAGGTAACTTGTGAAACATTTGAGCCTGACAATAAATTCTGCTTTGTCTGACACAATGGATGTGACTGAACTTCAAATGCTCAGTATGAAAACTATTTGTATCATCATTGCTACGCTGATTAAATTACACCAGCAAAGGCTGATGTTCTCCTTCATCAAGTAAATAAATGTAGGGCAAACAGAAATGTTACTACAGCTGAGAAATGTTCTAAAATTTAAAAAAAAAAATCTATAAAGACAAACTCTGGATATTACAGGTTTGCCATTTCCTATTTGAAGAACAAGTATTTGATATACAGCTTAATATTGTGTAGCCCTACGTAAAGAGGAACACCTGGACACTCCTCCAAACAAAGAAACTAATTAGACCTGTTATTATCTCACATCAAATCAAGATATGAGCAGAGTGATATGAGCTGTCTGGGTTTACTATAAAGTTTGCTTTGTTTGAGGCGCTCAGGCAAAAATACACAGAGAACATGGAGTCCATACTTACAGGTCACTTTGTTAGTTACTTTGTTAAATCACGGGTACCTTTGCCAACTTGAAGCAGTCTAGCCATTCTCCTCTGACTCTGACAAGAACAAATCATTTTCAGCTGGAGAACTGCTGCTGAGTGGATATTTTCTCTTTTTCTGACCATACTCTGTAAACCACAGAGATGGTTGTGAGAGCTGCCGCTCAGATCAACAGTTTCTGAGACATTCAGAGTAGCCCATCTGACGCCCACAACCATGCTTAGTTTGACCACTTTGACCAGTGGAAAGTCTACATGTCTGCATACCTTTCTGTCGTATGATTAGCTGATTAGATATTTGTGTTAACAAGAATTTGAAGAGGTGTATCTAACAAAGGTGTTGGTGAATGTCACTGACTCTGGTATTTTCTTTGACATGCTATTCAGTGACACAACTTGAACTTACTAAGAGAATAAAAGAAATGGATTCCAAGAATACCACGCCAAGTCAAAAAAATCTTGTGGTGCTAAGATTTTTCTATAGCCTCCTGGTGTATTCTTTGTATTAAATGAAAAGATAATGAAAAGTGGATTTTACTGTTGGTTTGCTATCCTACTTATTCTGGAAGGGTGTACAGTTTTAATTAAAGCAGACCTAATAGCCATTTCTTGACTAATAACTCACAGCAGGCCTGGGCGAGAGGCTGTCCTGTAAAGCAGCGGTCCCCAACCTTTTTTGCGCCACGGACCGGTTTATGCCCGACAATATTTTCACGGACCGGCCTTTAAGGTGTCGCGGATAAATACAACAAAATAAAACTAGTACCGGTACCAAAAAAAGAAGATTTATTCATAACACACGTGAAAAGACCCAGGAAAACCGAGTAAACGATAAAAACGATAACAAAATAACGCTGAAAACCGATAAAAACCCTGAAAACCATACATTTCACACCTGAGCCTCAACTCTCGTGGCCCGGTACCAAATGACTCACGGACCGGTACCGGTCCGAGGCCCGGGGGTTGAGGACCGCTGCTGTAAAGGACAGAAACCCCACCCACCTGCTTTTCAAATTTGCTGCAGGAAGGAAGCTCACTCGAAGGGTGGGTGGCCTTAAAGGAAGAGGAGCAAAAATAGCCGAGTGGCCACCTAACAAAAGAAAAGCAAGAATTGTTTTGAACTATGAATCATGCAAAGCCACTTCCCTCTTTGAGTACTTTGGAATTCATTCTTTTGTTGCGTTTATGTAATGAGGAAAAAACAAATAGGAATTGTGAATTCTTGGCCATACTGCCCAGATTTATTGCTAATGTTACCTTAGCCACCGCGCTAATGCTCAAATCATTTAGTACATTTTGCTGTTAGCATGAAACTGACTACATTTCATTCCACTGTCAATCTTACTGATGAGACACAAACAGAAAAACTGCCTTTTCATACGTGATCTGAGCAGAACGCATCTTTCTAACAGAGAGCTGCCATACTGTGTTTTCACTACAGTCTTCTTCATGTTGCCTTAAAGTCTTCTGAACAATTCATCCTACATGCTTCAAAGCAGTGAAGCAAAAGCTGTGAATATTTATCTGCATGTTATGTTGTGATTTTTAATACATTTCAGCATTTTATTTCACTTTGTCATTATTGGGTATTGTGTGTAGAATGTTGAGGAGAAAAATGAATGAGAACATGTGGAACAAACAAACAAACAAAAAATTGTGTCGCAATTTTTTTTGTCTGCAGAAGAAACCCTGCTTTTGCTTCTTGATATACGCAACAAGAATAATAAATGTATTTAAATATTTTTTTAATCAACTTAGTCAGGAAACAGGAATGCACCAGCATGTAGTTTGAATACAAAAGTCTGGTTTTTATGCTGTGGAGCTCATCACTCACCAAAAATATTGTATATCAAATTAGGGAGTGATGATGAGTAGACGTGCGAATGCTGGGGACAGCCAACAGCGACGCAGGGAAGCAGCGGCACCGACGTGAGAGGGAGAGATCGCAACTTTTGGGAGAGTGTGTTTGCTGTATGATGTGAGGACAGCGAGGCATGTCAGTCTTTACGATGCAGTGCGACTTGATTCGTGAGGTCTGACTCAGCGTAAAGTAAAGCTGCATACACCGATTTTATTGACCAGGTGGCAGCACAATGAGCTGTTAACACAACATGAGGTCTACATTAGACGATTAAGTTATGTCATGATCAACATATTTGCATGCAGTAGCTTGCACATCTAGCAGATACACTCATTAGTATTCATTTTGAGTTATGAGTTTCTTGTCAGCCAATAACTTTAAGGCCAAATCTAAGTCTCCTCTTAGCTGTGATGCGGTCTCCAGTGACTACTGAGGGAATTACACAGTGAGAGTCGTGATAAACTTGAGTCATCCTGATGATGGGTCAAATATCTATGCATACTAATAAAGGTGCCACTCAGGGACAAACACACCAGTGGAATTATAAAAATACTGGTTCTAGATAATGATTAGGGAAGCAGGAGGCATCCTTCTCTAATTGCTCAAAGAAATTCTATTAGCTAACCGTGATAACGTAAAATCCAAGGAAATAATAACACGACGTTGCATTCAGTGCTATCACAAACAAAACAAAACAATGCATTGCAATACAAAATTGATAGCTGTAGAGTGGGGTCATTTAATTACATAATATAGGTTTAGAAGATTAAGTTGCTTTGCACACCAAGTTCAAAGCTCCTCCAGTGTAAACAAAGCTCAAATACAGAGTGGGAGGCTAGACTAGTTTATGGGTGGATCCTGGCCTGCTGCTGCTCTGTGGTTGCCAGCAGATAAGATCATCTTATTGTCTTTAAAAACAGTGTAATGAGATTACTGTGTGGTGGGCTGCTGAAAAAGACAATTTGACAGACACACACAAAAAACTGTCCCATGCAGGCACCTTAATCACCACACAGAGCTATGTTAATGTCAGGTCTTTGGCTTCTTTTAGATTACAAAGTTAATAATGTACTGTACTGTACTGACCCGTAATCAGCTTTGTGAGCAGTTAGTATGGTCTGTATTATAATAACGTACTTTACTTTGAACTGGTAGACTTTGGCAGCACAGAAAAGCATTTTTATATTACCATGACACTGCTGTTCCACTCTGCTCTATAGGCTATAATGTAACTGTT